CAAAAGGGTGAAATAGGTGGTGTTGGACCCCAGGGTGATCAGGGGCCACCTGGAGTAACAGGATTACCTGGAGCGAAAGGTCAGCGTGGTGAACTGGGGCAGAGGGGTGAAGTGGGAGGTGTTGGACCTCAAGGAACAAGGGGTAATCCAGGGCCATCTGGAGTTACAGGACTGCCTGGAGCTAAGGGTCAACATGGTGAGGCAGGGCAAAAGGGTGAAGTTGGAGATGTTGGACCCCAAGGGCCCAGAGGAAATATGGGTCCAAAAGGACAGCATGGCCTGAACGGCATAGTAGGTGAAAAAGGTGACAAGGGTACTTTGGGCAATCAAGGACTGCGAGGGCCCAGGGGTCTAAGAGGTTATACTGGACCAGAGGGTGCTAGAGGTGAAAAGGGGGGAAGAGGACAAAAGGGACTGAAAGGTCTGGATGGCTCTGTCGGACAAAAAGGTACATAAAATCTGATAATCTGTTAAAATACAAACTTACTTTTATTAGTTCCATGTGTAATTTTGTTTATTATTCCCTATTCTGAATGACTTTCTGCAATGACAAGATATTGTTCGCATCATCATTGCTTGTTATAGTGTTGCTTTGCATAACCACTGGGATTGGCTACGGAGAACATTTCCCATAGCCACAAAATTACAGCCTACGTGTATTTCAGTTGAATATTATGAAATATTACATTCTACACTTCATCACCTGTTTTCACAGTTTATATGGTATTCTTGTTCTCAAGGTGAGATGGGTGACCCAGGAGAAGAGGGTGATCCTGGACCCATTGGACCACCTGGAGTGAAGGGAGAGATGGGATATAGTAAGACTCTAAAAAGGCACATTTCTACATCAGTTACATATTCAAATACTAAACTTCAAGAAAAAACCAATCACTGAAATTCTCATTTATTGGCAAATGAACTCCACTGCTAAAATACTAGTACCTCTCCCAAGGGTAAAAACATGAAAAAGAGATGGTTGTACAATATCATGCAACTGTTTCGCCATGCGTCTGATATTTGAGCAATTCTATAAATCTGGGGTCCAACGTGTGACATTTTTCTGTCCCTAATGCAACTGACTTTTGCAATTTGATAATGGTTGCATCATTCAAATTGACTTCAAACAATTTTTAGTTGACAGGTAATTTGCATTAGTTACATGTAAACAATTTTTGTTTGAAGGTAATTTGCATTTTTTACATGTAATCAATCTTGGAAATTAAAGAATATTTTCTAAACTAATAAAAGAATAGATGAAGGATGTAACATGGCCCAGGAAAAAAAATCGGACCAGTAAGTTATAGAATGATCTGTTTGTATAAAGAACCTAAGGGCGTAGGGCCTCCTCTGTTGAAGGACACAGTACAGTTCATGTCTAATCCTTCTGCAAAAATACAGGAACATTTGTAGCATAAACATCCATATTCCTACTCCTTGCAAATACTTCCATGGAGGCTGCAACGTAGTAACATTTGATTTATAATATACAATTTCATATTTGTATACATACATGCACACAGAACAAAAACTAGACAGCTGTTGTACTTTAGGGAATGAATACTGCACTTTACTCATATAGTTTATTGCAAAGATGCCACATACCGTTGCCATAATTTTATTCAACTTTGTGAAATGATTGTTTCAATTGTTCCCCAGTAAGTTTGCCTGCAACATGGGAACCTAGAACTCTCGAAAGGATCAGAGGCCCTCCTGGGCCGAAGGGTTCACCAGGCCCTGAAGGTCCCAGGGGCAGACAAGGACTGCAGGGCTTAAATGGGGCCAGAGGTGATTCAGGAGAGCCTGGGACTATTGGCCCACCAGGCCCTATTGGCCCTCCTGGTACGAAAGGCACCCCGGGTATCAAGGGCCTGCAGGGCTCCTCTGGGAACCCAGGTGAGCCAGGGGAGAAAGGACACCTTGGCCCTATGGGACCCCCGGGGGCCACTGGACACCCTGGACTACGTGGTCAATCTGGCATAAATGGGCTACCAGGTGAGGATGGGGCAAAAGGGGATAAGGGTGACAGAGGGTCAGATGGGTTACTGGGTCCTTCAGGGGCACCAGGTTTACCCGGAACCAACGGAGCCCAAGGACCTCCAGGACAAAAAGGAGCAACAGGAAACCAAGGTAGGTGTAATGTAGACTCTACTTAACATTTTGTCCCAATGTAAAAACTTAAACATGAGTAATGAAATCAGAAGTGTCACTGGAGGGGTGGAGATGTCACCCCAATTGCCAGAAAAATCATCGTGCTGTTGGCAATGAAGAAAAAAAGATGAGAAAAGGAAAGGGGGGTCTCGTGACTGTGAGATAATAAGGAATCAGATTAATAACACTCATGAAATTTGCAGATGGCACATCGTTTCCTGACAGTTTTTAATTCTTCCAATTCTTGTGCTGTATGTTGGTAACACATAGGAAACAAGGGGCAGCCAGGACCAATGGGTAACCAAGGTGAAGTTGGAGCCAAAGGTGAAACTGGTGATACTGGATCCCCTGGCGATCGAGGGCCATCTGGTCAGCGTGGTGAAGCAGGAGAAAAAGGTGAAGTGGGGAGGCCAGGGCCCACAGGTCTCAAAGGATCAGCTGGCCTGTCTGGGTCTGCGGGGCCTCAGGGTCCTTCGGGACCCCCAGGACTCAAGGGTGATCCCGGTGGAATTGGACCTCGAGGAGAGCCAGGCCGACTTGGGAAGCAAGGACATAAGGGAGATAAGGGTTGCCTGGGCCCAGAAGGACCATCCGGCCCACAAGGACCACCAGGCCTGAATGGAATGGCAGGGCTGAAAGGTCAAAAAGGCGACTTGGGAGAAAGAGGCCTGCAGGGCCCTCGAGGTTCAAAAGGCATTATGGGGACCAGAGGTAGCAAGGGTGATCCGGGCCAAGAGGGAATCATGGGGCCTGGAGGAACTCCTGGACGAAAAGGTAAACACTAATAATCTGTCTATTACAATTCCACCATCTTTTGCAAATGTTTTTTTCCTGTTGACTGTCAGTGTTCTTAAGGACAACAAATTTCTGCTTCTTACCCCATGTCTCCCATCCTTGCTTTGAAACAAAGTCTGAGACGATATATTTGACATACTAGACGGTTGTTGCAAAATCCCAATTTACGTGTAGTTTCAGGATGAAAGAATGAGGAAATGTCAATTAACTGAGACTCACCTCAGTGTCTGTGATATTCTTGCTCTGAAGGTGAGAAGGGTGATCCGGGAGAAGAAGGCGATACTGGACCCATTGGACCGCCTGGAGCGAGGGGAGAGATGGGAGATGCATGCAATGGTAAGGACTTTCACGCATGCTTCAACTGCTGGCCAATTAAAATGCAGAAAAAATGTCCGAGTTATATTATTGAAAGGGTAAGGGTATATGGATGTGTGCTCCTCCCCCCACATCGGTTTTGTTGATACCGTAAGTCGGTGTTTTCTTGATAATATGCAGTCCAGTGTCACTAATGTATAGTTCGCCTTTTTTTTCCAGTTATCAGTATGCTCTGATGATAAATATGGGGCTCATTATTAACCACCCTCTTAGGTCCAGCCTGAGAAAAGGGGATTCCAAGGACACTACATGTATATTGAGTTTCAAAACTCAACTCAGACTGACTTGACTATTTCCTTAAAACACATAATACACCTTCCATCTATCTGATATTACTTTGGTTAATAGGCCTGTATTGTAAACCAGTTGTCAAGGTCATGCATCCAGTAACATTAATACGATGGATTACATACAATTATGTACACGGTTTGATTTCTTCCCTAGTCAATGCGATCCTGGATGATCTAAGGGAGTTGGACAACGAAACTCTGAAGCTGATCATGGGTCCCAAGGGCAAACCAGGGACAAGAGGCCCTAAAGGGGCTAAAGGAGACATTGGAGAGCCCGGGGATGTGGGCCTTCCAGGCCCCATGGGCACCCCAGGTATCAAGGGCCTTCCTGGGGAGAAGGAAGCCCTGAGTTCCAAGGGACCCCCTGAGCCTACTGGGCCCCCTGGACTGTGGGGTCAACCTGGCATTGATGGGCTACCAGACAAGGACGAAGCGAAGGGGGACAAAGGTGACAGAGGGTCAGATGGATTACCGGGTCCCACAGGGGCACCTGGGTTACATAGAATCAATGAAACGCATGGATCTCCAGGAAAAAGAGGGAACAGAGGAGTCCAAGGTAGGTATAAAGCAGGCACCATTTTAGATCACTTACATTGGAAACGTTGAATAGGAATACATTTTTTTGTTAGTGACGCTTTCCTGAGTTATGCATGGTTAGAACTACAGTGGAGTAAAAGTTTCTCGACAATTTTATATATACATGTACCAATAGTATTGTGAGGTTGTAAGATTGTGAGGTTAAGGGAAGCACATGTACGCATGTGATACTTTACACTTGTTGGAGATGGCTTTTTCATTCACAAGAAGTTGCTCTTTCAAAGAGAGGTACCAGTACAGTTTCTAAATCCTTGTGCTTTCTATTCCTGACGAAATGCTATGTCGTGGGCCAGGTTTTCCCCCTTCCCTGCCCCCTCTGCCCAGTCTTAATTATCAAGACTTAAAAAACTAGTTCATCATGAACTTGGTCAATTTAACTTTTTCTTTGTGTTACCAGTTTTTAAGGTTGGTTTTGACATTTTCAGCAGTAATGAGTGCTGTTGAAGAAGTAGGGGCTATTTATAAGTAAAAGAGTTGAGGAAAACTGCCATAGGTGTTTTAGTATAATTTTAAAGTAAGAATATTGGTCTACCTGCACAAAAATTACATCACCTGATACAATTAAAATAAATCTATAATGTGCAGACCGTATGATAATTATTATGGTGTGCTAATTCCCTTGGTGCACTTTTGAGACACCGCTCACTGTTCATTTGAGTTGAGTTTTGTCTATTCCTGTTTATGTCATTGTTCTCAAGATTTAAGGCCGGGTAAATCTGTGCTCTACTGAACAGTTTGTCAAATACTTGAGTTATTCACCCTTGATAAATGGCATGCAAAATGTATCAATGCTGACTGTTTAATACATTTTCGTTTCCACGTCTATAGTTTAGAATTATGAACTTAATAACATTTACAAGGAAAAAGTCTAAAACAGATTAAAATGGGATTTTTCCATATTTTTGAAGAAATTTTCAAAATCAGCAGCCCCTGTTGATTTAACTTTCAGTTCTTCAGATGACTACAGATGGTCCCACTTCCTCTCTGAAGCCCGAGATGTCGCCATCACTTGATATAGACAGCACTCCCAACCCAGGTATACCCAACAGATCGTTTTTAGAAACCCCCCAGTTGATCAGACATTTGGGTCCATCCGTGTGACCTGGCTTATTCCCCCCCCCCCACATTTGATTCCATCCACGATGAAGCACCCTGTATCTGACCTTTTCTCTGGGGCTTACATGTCAACTGTTTAAAGCAAAGTTGAGTGTGTATGACGTAAATGCGTCTTGTAGGGCTGGATGGTTCAGATGGTGAGGCACTGTGCAGTTCCAACCCACTTCAGTCAATTTCTCGTACTTCATCTTTGTACTTAATGCATTTTTATCTTTCTCAAGATCAGTTTTGTTTTTTTGTCAGCTTATCAATCAGACAATTAATAGCTTAATAACACCTACAAGAAAAGAAAGTAAACCCGAGATTGAAATATTACCAAATACAGTTTCACACTGTTAAAGAAAATGAAAACAATCAACAGGCTAATTTCATTTCTCTTTTAGCTCCTCACGCGATTATAGGTGACCCTACTCTCACTACAAAGCCTACATCATTACCTGACTTAGAGACCACTCCAAACCGAGGTATGCCCAATGCAGTTGCATTCTATGAAAGTAGTCACAGAATACTGATGAGAACTGGGTCTTTCCCAACTAGGTTCAAATCCTACCAACCATGAAAACCCTTAGCTCAGTGCAACTGCCTCATCTGTTTAAAGTTGCCTGTGGATGGCCTGCATGCATGCATGTCCAACTGTTTGATAGTTTGGCAGTTTTCAACATTGCTGGTGTTGTATTTTGCACATGGGCGTGATTCCTGAAGATACTGTACCAACAGAAGGAATTGCTAACAGAGAGCTCCGTTGGTAGAGCAGTCCCTAACTGGCAAGCACCCAAGTATGTTCATATTGTCACAAGTTCAAATCCCATTGAATCAACCTATAGATCTGTTCATCTTTTCGAGTGACAAAAAAAAAAAAAATGTCATTTCCATTCTACATGTACTTAAAGCTCTTCGGGTCATTAAATATAGTCACACTTCCACCATGGGGCCAAAGACATCACTGCCGCTTGACATCGAGGGTACTACGAACTCAGGTAATTCTTTAGTTTTAAATTACAAAAAGTCTTGGGACTTGGATAGATGACGCAATGCTTCCCCTCTTATTACAATTATGGAATATCCCCGGACGTGTGACTTTATTTCTTGTTTTTGTAACTCTTGAAATTAGAACAGAAGAATTTAGAACTTAAACAATTACCATGGGGAAATGGCAGTCTAGAGCACAGATTGTAGTAAATTGTAAGTCTTATTTCATCTGTTCAGGGAAGGAAATAAAATAAAAAATTAAGAGATTTGATGTAGTGTTGCATGAAGTTCAGTCCCTAGAAGTCTCTGTAAGTCTATCCCAAGTTTTTAACCAAGCTACATTATATTTATTCAGTGAACTGTGACCAAAGCATTCCTTTGTTTTTGATCATCCGGACTAGACCATCCTAACTCTTGAGAGATCTTTTGTTAAGACTTCAGAAAGGACTTGTGATGGACTCGAGTACCTGATATTTCGATCCTTGCAGAATCTTTTTCGACAGCCTTTGCCTATGAGAAAGAATTGGCAATAGCAGCGTCAGGCCCCATCATGGTCGTCACCAGGACGTTTTCCAAGGGGGGGCAAACCATTTTTACCCCATTGGTTGGGGAATCTCCTGAGGGCAAGCTAGGTCTAGTCCATTAATCAAAGGGTGGAGTGCTGCCCATGGGCCCCATGTTGACAAACCACTTTCATAGAGGGAAAAATATTTCAAGGGGAGCAAGCACTTATCAGCTAATGACTAATAAACAATTAACAGCAGGAGGGAGGTCAACCTTTCTTTAACATTTCTTCCACTCTTTGTCTTTTTCATTTCACATATTTCGAGTCGGAGCCTCCCTTGCTCCCCTCGCAATGCCAATATCTGGCCTGGCTCTGGACTTTTGGAGGGCACTACACTCAGCAAGTGATAATGCAGCAGCTTCTGTCTTTTACATTTCCGTACAAAACAACAAAAAGTAACAGTGTCATCTGCAATTTTTTTTCAACTTCAAGCTCTTTGGAATAGCACAGACAGTTCTACACCCACTGCAAGTTCTAAGTTATCATCAACACCTGCCACAACAGAGAGTACTCCAAACTCAGGTATCATTTGTGCATCATAAGCGCAAGAAAAATAAGACCGACCCCTCGTTCAACTTTGCCGTACTTGAAACAATTGAATCTACTGAACTCAACTGGAAATACACAACCGAACATATTCTCCAAACTTAAGCACAAACAGTCCAGGTCATCTGCTGAGACCACTTTTCGTTGCCTTACTCAGATAATTTTGACACAAGACAAATAATCTGTTAGGCATTATACCAAAAAATCCCTACTTCTGCCTGTATCAGGCATGTCTTCTTTTTTGTAAGTGTGTGCAGAAAGATTTCATAAACGTCCCCCTTTTTACCTTCAACTGTTAGCATACACCGGTAGTTCCTTATCTTTTACACTCGAAGTACATGTATATTGAGAAATTGTCCACATGTGACTTAATTTATAACAACTGGCAGGTTTGTTGGGCTTCTTTCCATGTAGCTCTGTGCTCAACATACTCAGTGACAATAGCTTTCAGATCAAGTCCTGAATGAGCTTTTGGAATATGTCTTTATTAAAAGGCAGAATTGATGCAAATATTCCTCTTCACTGTCTCTTCTGATTGTCAGAGTGTGTTCTGGAAAAGATCAGTGCGCCCAAGGACCACAAGTATGGTAGTACCTACTGGGGTTCTTGGATGCAGGACACTGCCCCAGATCCGCCCCAACCAGACAAGATATGGATCACCAAGCATTTGCATGGAGTTGCTATTTACGGTAAAGAAAAAATAGTAAAAAGTGAAAAAAAAATCAACCCATTTCCTGTTGACACTTCCTACACGTATTCAAGCATACTGGTACTTTTCTAAACCTCTATAAAAATAATCTGTCACATTTACATGTATATCCATTTAGTATTTTTCTTAGGAGCATATTTTTGTGATTGATGCTATCAATCTAAAAGGGGCATAAGTGACGATTCCCTTTTTATTTGAAAAACAAATAAGGAAAAAGGACTAGATGACCACTCAAATGCATGGAGTGAAATCAAGACAAAGTAAAAGGAATTGTAGGTGGTTGGATCATATTAATCATCTTTTAAAATGATTATTTACAGAATACCAAAATATGGAAGCTCTAAAGTGGGGCACGTACACCCGGAAACACACCCTCTCATATACCTGGGCTGGCACAGGCCACGTGGTCTACAACAATTCCTTATACTTCCACAATGGCCTCTCGGCTGAGATTTTGCGGTACGACCTGAGCTCAGAGACTATCATATCCAGGGGAAGCATTCCGTTTGCCCAGTACCGAAGACTGAATGAGCATGGGTACCTATACAACTCCAACTACACCTACTTTGACCTTGCTGTTGACGACAACGGACTGTGGGTAATTTACAAGACCACAGAGCTCAACCAGAACCTTGTGGTGTCCAGACTAGATCCAGAGGACCTCTCCATCAAGACGACAATTGTGTCCAATCACCCCCCGCGCTGGGCAGGCGAAGCCTTCATCATCTGCGGCCGGCTGTATACAACCAAGAGTTCTGAGCAATTCAACTCTACTGTGGACTTTGGAGTGAACCTATTCACAGGAGAGGAACTGGCTGACGTGGATATTCCCTATCGGATCGGCCACTTAAAAATGACCATGATGTCCTACAACCCAAGAAATCAACTGATATATGGCTGGGACAAAGGGTACATGGTGACGTATAATGTCACCTTGACTAAACCCTGATCAAAAATTTGTGCAAGTGGAAAGCTATTTGTATGACCATTTCACGAAACAGTTATCTAAATGTGGATGGGTTGAAGTTATCCTCTGGAAAAAGATTAAAAGTTAAAACATACAAAGGTATATATTATAATTGCATATTTCCACAATACGGCTGTTTCACAATAGTGCGCCACCAAGAGTTTGCAACGCGTTGGCCAATCACAATGCACGGAATATGTCGACCTATTGTGCGTTTGGAAAGGGTCGACAAATTTTGCACATTCTGATTGGCCAATGCCTTACAAACTCTTGGTGGCGCACTATTGTGAATTGCTTGTATCAAATTTTGTATGCAGTTAAGTTTAACCCCAGCTGGTGTAATCAGGATGAACTGCTCTACCACCTCACCATAAAAACCTTTTCAAATGATTACATGATTGTAAATATTTGTTCATAGATATCAATATATCATCCATATCTCTATTGCTTGAGAACCCGTCACATAGCCAACCTACAACAGTTTTACGGCACTGGCTGGCTATGCACAACCTAATGTACTACACACCACACGCATAACAAACTCTATAAATTACATGTATACGGAAATGGTTTAGGCCTATGGCTACTCACGATAGAGAATCATACCATAACATGGCTAGAGGGGTGTTTACAAGAAATGAAGCAAAACTAGTTACCAAAACTTGTCGGAAATTTACAGTTTCTAGACTTTGTGACTCAAAATGCTTGGGCTTTATCAGCATCCATTCACCACATCTGGTCTCCTTTTTAATAGCTGCATATCTTAAATGTTAAAACCTGGCCAAGTAAATATTCATTCAATGTATAAAGCCAATTCCAATTAGAATCAGGTCCCTTTAAATTGAAAGACAACCCAGTTGACGTTTTCTGGGCCCCTGCTGGGATGTCATATAATAATTTCATATTTCTATTTTTAAAGATCTGTTGGGTTGTCATACTTGTGCACATATGAATATTCTGGGCCAAAGGCATGTGATATCATTCCAGGAAGAAGTCTCATTTTGTGGGGGCATGTACGTGGCTTAGTGGTTAGGATTTGTAGCTTCTGATCATAGGGTTGGAGGTTCAAATCCAGCAGGTGGCAGCACATTGCGACCTTGGGCAAGTCACTTTACCCTCATGCGCCTTTCTCCACCCAGGAGTAATGGGTACTTGTGAGGGCAGATTTGGTTATTTAGCCGTTTGTGCCCAATAGGGCTGCATCAGCAGATGTACTCCCCAGGGAACTGAGATGATTTCAGGAATGTTCAGTTGTTGTGAGCCCTGTGTGCAGGGATAATAATAATAAATGCATAGGGACTTCTAAAGCACTATTATAAGAACGTTTATTATCATCCGTATTATTATTACTTTTAACAGCTAATTTAGTACCGCATGCAATAATATCCCAGAGCAGAGGGTATTTCGTTGTCTTAAATGTTCATTTCTTTCATGTGTAATTGACCATCTGGGCATCCATCGTTCTCAAATAAACAGGGTATTACGGATCCAGGTTGATGATCCTTTCCATCTGAGAATGCTTGTCGCAGAAAGCAGGGTTTTACCATGCAAAGGTACTGGACAAGATCTGTTCTGATTATCTGTCACACTTGCAGTACTTACCCTGACAATAATACATGTACATATGCATGCTGAGAAGGTATGTGCTGGAACTTAAGCTATATTTGCATTTAGACAAATGTGTTATTGTGTTACAGACCTTTGTTTTGTTTCCTGGACTGCAAGGTTTACAAAAATGTCATCCTCGGGCTCACAAAAACTCTTTTATTTATCAAACTGTACTTTCCCTTTAAAGGAGGGGTTGTACACATAAAACATAGGTTTTGATTCTTGATACATTGTATTTTTTGTAATGATGGCTGCAATGATTTTGCTAAGCCACTGGGCGAAAAACCTGCTACTACGAATGGTCAATTGCAAAGAGTTGGGATTTATGGACCCAGACTAACTCCCATCATACCAGGCTCTACCAGACCCGAAACAGGGCCCGACCAATACTCCTCCGTCGTATACGACAGAGGGGTATTCGTCGGACCCTGTTTATGGGTCTAACCAGGCTCGTGCTCTTAAAAGAAGCCCGGGTAATTCAGCCGGCGACTTTTTATCCAATGACATCTGCTTTGTTTTAAGAGCTGAAATTTCACCGGTATGTTTACCATTCTGTCGCCCTGAGTCTCCTCTTGCAAACGGCTAAAGCAGTGGGATCTTTGAGATAGTTTGAAAAACCTTTTGCGAACACGGTCATACCAACCTGTAAACAGTATCGGGAGAGGAGTATTACGTGTCCAGCTCGCAACCCGTTACTACAAGTTCAAGGAATCCCGCGAATGATCGTCGAAATACTGACGGCTTTTTACTGAGAAACCATGCTTCAGTGCAAAGTGTTCGTGAAATATAAAAATTGCAACAAAGGAAAAGAATGTCCTGACCAAGCTAAATTAGTTCTCAACCCACGCACAGAACTGCGCCCAAAAAGTCATCAATCAAATTGCCCGGTTCGCAAAACAAAACCACACTCTCATATGGACACTATGTTTTTTTCAAGCAGTCACACACCCATGGATATCCATACACGAGTTGACCTTGCGCAAAGTCTCTCCGGTCACCAGACCCGACTGCCTGCCCACTCTACGTAGAGAGCGACCACTTCTTACAAAAACGCGGCGACTTTGTCCACTTTAATTTAGTCTTTACATACCCAAAATTGCAGCCTATAAAACCAAGTTTCACATCGATCAGTTGCCGTTATCAGGTTATATCTAATGCTGACGGGCGCGGGCCGACATACTTCGGACGTCGCTGACACATTCGCCACCATTTCTCCAACACGTGCAAAGGACCTGTAACTCATATGCACCGTATACGTGCACACATCATGGACTGCCACACAATCAAACAGGAACCGATGCAAGCAGCAACTCCGGGGTCAACAGACGTGGACCAGGGCAACAACTCTAGTAAGTTTAGTAAGAAGATTCACAAGCCAGCTATTGTGAATTTATACACAAAAATAGAGAGGTATTCCTGTACTATCACTGTCAGTGACTAATTAGTAATAAGACATCGATTGCGTAATATTTAATACCCTTCTGCAAGTGCCCTATTTTGAATTCTTTGGTTGAACTTTGCTTTTTAAGCTCTACTCCCAGCACACTCCAGCCTTACCGTAAATACTGCATGGCTATAGGTGATTTTGCACAATGGTAGAAAGGCACTGTGGAAAGAGAAAGGGGGATATTTGCACCTTTTTCGTACCTACAATAACTTTCTACCATTGTGCAAAATCACCTGTGCAGTATTTGTGGTAAGGCTTATGCCTAGCCCACAGAGTGTGCCTGTAGATGGCAGCATGGACATCTGGGATTCTTGCAAAATGGCAGGCATCACGCTGGTGAAAACAGCGACATAAAGGGTGTAGACCACTAACTCAAGTGAGAATTTCTGGCCAGCTCATTAGCGTTAAAAGTGCCCCCGCAGTGTCTTTTGAAAAAGGAGATTGTTTGGCCTCCAAAATGGTGAGATTGTGTAAATCCTTGCCAGGATCAACTCCCTGGGTCTTTGAGCTTTCATACGAGAGCAGAATGTCTAAAAACTACGGTTGAAAAATGGTCCTAAGTGCCCGAGAAAGTTGAGGGTTGCCACTTGAAAAAATGGCTGCAATCAGACTTTGGAAAAATCCTTTTTTGGGGAGTGATTTTGTTTTGTGGGAATAATTTAAAATGTAATTGGTTAAACCACGAAAAATTGAAAAGAAATTGAAAGATTGGTGACAAGAATTTCATTTGTGTTTCAGAAATCTCAGGGATGTTAGTATGCATGTTATTGGGCCCTGAACAGTGGTGATTTTACACTGTTTACAATGGGGCTTGAATTAGTGGACTGTACCCATATGCACGCACCAACCAGGATCAGTTTACACAGTCCTTTCTTTGATCAGTATGTACACGCGTGCTTGTTGCAGTTGTTTTCATCAGGGTGGTTTGGTTGCTACCCACAATTTTGTTAAACTCCCGGATGTCCGTGCTGCCCCACAGCTCTGGGAATACTTTAGCTGGGCTCCATGGTTTGACTGAGCATGTGTGGTTTTGGGGAATTATATATTCGGGGACCCCCTTTTTTCTCATTTTATTCTTGTAAAACTGCTCAGCCCCCCAAAAAACCCCAAAGGCAGTGCTCTTTTTATTGTGCTGACCCTATTTTTTTGGAATTTCGAATTGTAAATGGTGAAAAAGTGACTTTCTTAGTGATATAAAAGTGATAAACCAGCTATGCAAGTCAAGCTGCCATGTGTTAAAACGCTCACAACTTCCCCTCGTAACTTCCCTCGAAGCTCAAAGCGCTGCCCTCTTTTCACAACATCAACCCTACAGTTATTGAGCACGATGTCATGGTCATTGACCTAGGTGAATCCAAAAGTTAAAATGTAGGTCTCCCTTCTAATTTATGGGAACAGGGTTCCCGAATACATGTTTACAATTCCCTGACCTTGTGACTCACTAGTATCTGTGTTTGGATACATGTTTTCCAATCCAGTAGTGCTGATGAATTTCAAATGTCTCTCTACTGCAGTTTTGGTTAGAACTGAAGTGACAGACATACCGGTCCACATGCATTTCCAAAGAGGGATTTTGGGGCTTGAGCATATGTTCTTGCAATTTTAGGCTACAGGATACTTCATGACCCATTTACATTTATCTTATCTTAACTGTTTGAATTGACCTTGGTAGATTTTAATTTGTTATTACTTTTTTTCGTGTGGGTTTGCACGGGGTTAAAACTGCATTTCAATTTTCACACAGACTTGTTTCTTGGGCCAGCTGAAATTGCAGGTTGGAAGGAGTTCCATATACGGGCACCAGTAATTATTCCCTGCAGTGACCTACATGTATTAGCCATCAGAAAGCAAAAACATATCCAGAAAGGTTGAATTTAGGAGGGAAAATACCAAGTCGTTTACTTAGAAAACACAGTTTTCAGACCAGTCTCATAGGGTTCAAGTGGTGTCCAAATATGAAACTAATTCAAGTAGGTTTTCAAACCAGCCATCCAGGTTTCACCCCAAGAATGTGGCAGACAGCAACCCTCCCCCCATCCCCCAGTTCTGGGGATACCTGGCTAATAGCTCTGTATTTCTCTCTGTCATTTTTTCTAAAAATGTGGGGTTTTTTTTCATAAAGTTGTGTTTTCAGACAATATTTCTGTGGTCTTTTTGACTTGGCACACTTTAGTTTATTGTCAAAATATATTTTTTTAATTTATAGATTTTTGGAGTGGTGATGAAAACCTTTCAAGCATACAGCGTAAAATGTGGAAAAATGAACTTCAACGTCATTTGCAAATCACTTCAGAGGAGCTCCACCCAATATCAGGAGAATCTGCTTCTAAACAGAGGGACGAAAACATCCATAACCTGTTGTCCCAGTCTCAAGTTGGATATAGATGTGCTCACACAACCACACAGAATGTCGAATCTCCTACTTCAACTTTAAATGCCTCGTCGTTACTAACAAGTACCTGTGACATTCTGCCTAAACCAGAACATGGAGACTTCCATTTGCCTTGCGATGATGACTCTCCATCATCCCCTCAAATTGGTCAGCCCCTTGCCTCATCTCCCTGCATACCAGCAAATGGAGACACACAGTCAATCCCGCAACTCCAAGGATTGCCCTGTCTAGAAAATGGCGACACTCAATCACCCCCTCTACCGGCTGACCAGATTATGTCAACCCTTTGGGAGATCAAGCATGACCTGCAACAGCTGATTGCTGGGCAGAGAGCACTTCGTGAGTCCGTGGAGTACCTCCACTCAGTCCTGAAGCCCCAGATGACATGTATTTCATCATCATCCAGCAAAACGCAGCGTGAATTAACGCCTCAGATAACTTCAGGCAAAAGTATAAATACAGGCACAAAAACTCTTTACCAAGCACCATCAAAAGACTTTCGGTCTGCTACGCGTCGGCCAGCTCCGACAGTGACACCCGTTTACATTGCCAGCAACGAGACTGGAAAGTTTCTACTTGGTGGCTCAGAGGGTCTGGTGCGTGACATCTTTGAGTATCACGGAGACGTCAGGAGAGCATCTACACGTGCGGCATCCAAGCCAGAGGCGACGGGAAGAATGTTGTGCTCCATTCTGATGCGAAAGGAATTTTCCAAAGAAGACTTGGCGTCTAAAAATGTAACAGGCAAATCAAGGGATCCTAAGACCAAAAAATGTGTGCCAGTGCCAAAATTGGACAGTAACATCCTGCAAGCAATCTTTCGTCAGGCCAGGTTACAGTTTCCTGATTTCCATGATACTTACACCGATACAAAATGTCCAACCGTTCAGCTACTTAATGACACATGCAAACATATTCGACAAAAGATGCTTCTGGCACCCACAGACTAATTGACCAAACACTATTTTAAAGTTTGAGGGGAGAGTTCCAGTCTGACCTGTACCATTTTGCATGTGATTTGAAGATATAACGTATCTTGTTTAAATACCGTATCAGTAGAGAAAAATTGTAAAATATGTTACGTGCCTCAGGAAGGAAGGAAATGCAGGTGTGCATGTTGCCCATACTTAGGGTTCTCTAAATTGCTGCAGGTGATTAACTGACATACTGACATGCACGCAAACACATGGTTTTCGTTCTGCTTCCCCACTGGCTTCATCATCCATCGCCCCTGGACTTTGAAGTTGTTGGTCTAAAAACAAGTCAGACAGTGCCAACAAAATATCAAACTCTATGCATGCAACTATTGGGGAGTCCGGTTTGCATAGTGGTTATTTCCTCACCTTCCACCTCTGCGGTCGAGGTTCAAATCCCAGCTCGGTCCACATACAGATTGAATTTTGGGTCTCTACCCAATTCCATGGGTTTTACCCAGAATATTCCTCTGGGTTCCCCCCACCTTTAAAACTGTAACTGCTTCCCATTTCAATGTGCCCGAGTCTTCAAGTATATGAAGTTGGTGCATCACTTGGAAGATGTATATCCAAACTTAATGTGAATGTTACATATAAATCTGGTTGGCACAATTCAATACAACTTTTCAGGTATGCCCGTTAAGGGGCGGTTTGTAGAAGTCCTTGTTTCATCTTTTCAATGCAATGTGAGAGAACCTTTTGGTGGATGTTTTTTATGTGAATCAAATGCTACCCAGGTACATAAACCCTACCCTTTTATTTTCATGTTTTTATTAAATATTTCAATGATCCATTGACTTGTGTCTTTCCATTCAATTTGTTGTTCAACATTTCACAATTCACACCATAGCATTCTATTTTCCGATCTCTTTGAGTGCATGTTCTCAAGAAGTATTAATTTTTAATTTCATTCAAAATGCACTGCCTGCAAAGGGCTCAACTGGTTACATGGTTTTCAAGACAGTGTGTTCACTTATACATGTACGTATCAGGCTTACAGTCATCACAGTTTTTGAAAGGAGGCTAGTCATGGAAGCTTCCCCTGCTGAAATGTGGGACCTTCCCTTTGAAAAAATGAAGTCCTCCAGAGCCACGATTAGGCCAGCCATCAAATAAACAACCCCATGGGGTCTTTGTAAGAAAAGCTACCCAGTATCAGGAAATGACTCTGGAGACTGATGGTTCCCCGAAAGCAAAGATACTTGTACCCTAGAAAAAAAGGTCACGGTCAAAAAAGTTACCCAATATATACAATGTACATGTACCTGTCAGGATTTGGACAGGATACCCAAGTTGAACGGCCAGAGAGTAATATTCCACAGTTGCAGTAGATCAGCTGTAGAATACATTTGTTTAACCAACCTGTAGAATTACCTCTTTCATATTTACATTAAATTAATACTATTGTGAAGTAACAAACAATAACACTCTTGAAAAGTCATCAGAAAACCTGTGAAAAAAGCAGTCTTTTATTACACTGTAGGTACGTTATAAACAATAAATCCCATGATTCGGTAACTTCGAAGTGTAGCCTAGCCCCGAATTTGAGGAGGACTTTTGCGATTCCAGAAGAGAGAGCTAAACAGTTTTTATTTGCAGATGGTTCACTGACTCGGGAAGGTAGCAAGCATCACCTAAACTCTGGTCGGCTCTTTGGACGGTAGACAAGACCATTCTCCTTGAGGTGTTCCTTGCTGTGGTGAATGCATGCGCCGTGGTCCAGTTGGAATTGACATAGGGCCCTCAAGGGGCGCACAAGGGTCTGAAGTGAGAAACAAGAACTGCATTGATAACCCAACAAGCTTTCTATACACAAATCATTTCTGATTGTCTCACTTTCACAAAGTCATTGATGAAAATGTTGGACGGGGAAAAGGATCCAACTAACTTTGCTTGGAAACGTTCTCACCTCCTGAATTTCCGCCCTCTTCTCTAGAATTGCTAAGGACACAGCAACTGATTCTACGGTAGACAAGCAGCTGTTTGTTGGCTGTGTGCGGATTACATATTCACTCAGATTTCCACTGGACAATTGCACCTGGTTGGTATAAAAACAAAGATGTGTTACGACTTACTACGCAATCAACCATATCACTGCCTAACACTCATCGCAGCCAAAAAGCTGCATTATGGAAAGCCATGCGTATCTTTACAAGGTTTCATGAACATGTTTTTTGTTACATTCTTCACACCTGTTGTGGTTGACGAAAGATGTTGTTGCTTTTGTACATGCTCCTGGCCTGGTTCCAAGTCCCATCAATCACAATCAGATTGTAGCCTGATTGGCTGTCCGGAGGAAGGGGTGGGACTTGGGAGATGTCTATCGCCTCTGGCCCTGGGAACAACACAAGGGTCTTGGGATCCCGGCAGACAGCAGTTAGCACTGGGTGACTGAGGAAATACAAAGACAAGTACATATAAATAACAAGAAGCACTGAAAAATGGCCAAGTGCACGATCCAACTTGAGGGAATTACCTAAAATACTATTGAAATTTCATAGTTTTTCTATGTATTACCTCTAACCACAAACTCAAAAAGCAGCTTGCTTAGTCAAATTGTAATCTCCAACACTTCTGCAATTGTCAAATGTGAAGATTGTGTTATTGAACAATGCCAAACAGTAAGAACAGAAAATCCAGTAAGAACAAATCTTTTAATCTGTTCTCGGGGAGAGTTCAACATACAGACGCCAGTACTTATTCCCTACAGTGGCCTATTAGCCATCAGAAAGCAAAAACGTCCAGAAAAGTTCAATTTAGGAGGGAAGAAAACCCAAGTCGTTTCCTTAAGAGAATTTTTCAGACCAGTCTCATAGGGTTTGTGTACAGGGTGTCAAGCGGCGTCCTTTTATGGAACTCTTTTCCTGTTTCTGCCAAAATCAACTAAATCTCATATAACCCACTTGTCTATGGACCGATTCGATGACGCCATTACTGCGGTGTCCCCGTCACTAAGGCGTGCATTCCTAGGCTTGACAAGCAGGTGATTTGGGTTAGCAGTGCACTCCCATTGGCCGATGAGGAAGCATTCAATGTGGATCTCTTTTTTTTCACACGCGCGACGACACCCCAGTAATGGCTCCTCATTCTTGTCACCGGATCGGCCTATAAGCATGGCTTGGGAGACATGGCCTGACAAGGGTTACATCATGTTCAACATCCCTCTAGCTGAAACTATCAGCTGTAAATTTCCACCTTGGTAAAAGTACCAATATCACACTGTTTCGTATTCTGGTGCATTGGGCTCCTGTAAAATCTCTGAAAGTTTCAGAACTCGAAAAAATTCCATATGTGGGCAACACAGACTTTCCCTTATAATATTACAGCCATCAGAAAGTGATAACATGTCCTGAAAAGTGATATTTAGCTAAGAAAGTTCCAAAGCCTTTGCTCAGAAAACACTTGGGTTTTGTGAGATAAGTCCCATAGGATTGTGCACAGGGGCATCAAGTGTTGTCTGTGCATGTATATGGAACTCTTTCCCAGAACTATTCTGTGTATGGTGTACAAATGAAACAATACAGCAGACTGAAGTGTTGGATCTGGATGAAAACCCATTCTGTCACATTCAACTTCCCAAAATCTGCCCAAAATCCAACACTTGATTTTGCAGCATGCAACTACGTTATATAGGGCTTCATTCTAAACTTGGTTGGAAGTGCAAAGAAAGTACCACTGAGTTACTAGACTGTTTCGTTTACAAACTGGAGTAGTCAGGATACTCCAAAGCAAATGCTCAGGGTTAAAGTGATCACAAATATAAATTCTCCTCCCCACACCATGCTTCATCTTGACATTGCGGCGGCAGACTTTCATTTCATAATTTACCCAATTTCGGAGAAGCGTCTGCCTCGAATGACGTGGCACTTGCCCTGCTGTAAACAGTTCATCAGTATGGGCACCGTCCGTAATGATCGGCTCTCCTCGTTTGGATGCTGAATCACGTAGACACACGTTGAGATGTCCAGTGGCTTCTCAGGGAAGTGTGGGCATAGACATACCTTGGCTGGCCGGCTAATTGATTCAAAAGAAATCTAGAGTTAGGATTCATGTCACAGAACTAAGAAAAAAAAAATTATTGGCACTAGATTTTTTGTAAAAGAGTTCCACATATATGTACGGACAACACTTGAGGACCCTGTGCCCAAACCTATCTTGGTTCGACCACTTTCGGTGGCGGAGGATGACATCTTGTGTTGTCTTCATTGTAAGACCATCCTGGGTCAAGAACTATAGATTAATCAGGTTTGCTGATGGGAAAATTTGATTTCATAGCTTTCTTAAACCTGTGAACCATTTCACCGCAAAAGTTCGATTCCAAAACCCCATAGTGTTACAACACCATGTAAACCGTGTTGGTTCAGTCACAAGGAGTGTGACAGAGTAGTGACTTTGAGTTCTCGAAGCAATCACAGCCAACTTATTTACATGTAAGTCAGTTGTTTCCAAAACGTAGACTTGGTTTCTTTATAATCAGATTATAGGAACAGGGTGCTTATGGTAATGAAAACCCTGTTACCGGTCTACAAGAATAATTTGACAGACGTAGACGCCGCATGAAAACTGGAATTACCCCTAAATCTGTGGGGTCCGATGTCCGCCTTGTAGGAGGGGGCAGACGTCGGACCCCACAGTTCTGGGGGGTAAACTAGAATGACTCTTCCAACTAACCAAGCTCTACTGAGTGGAGCGTCAGTATTCCTCTTTTTCAAATTTTGGACGGGATCGGTCACACTAACGCTCCACTACATTACATATACATGTAGTAAAGTGACGACGGTTCTCAAAAATTCCAAAGACTCACCAAAAATACCCTTTTCACCACCTACTGGCTTTCTTACATGCCAAAGGAAAACTTTTGGGGCTTGAGTGATATTTCCGATTTCAAAATCTGTCAAAATCCGACCGCTGTCGCTCGACAATCACACAACACTTGAACTTTTCGACGCCTCCTCCCATTCAAATACAGGTGCCTAGATTTTGCTGGCACAAGAACTCTATGGAGGAACATGGTCCTCTAACGAAACCGCATGTGAGGTCGGGGCACAAGACGTATTGACCAAGAAACAGTCATTGGTAGCACTCCCAAACATCACGATCAACAAGTCTTGTACCCAGACCACGTATAGGCCAGTCATGCATGCCTCTGGGTATAAGCGATCCTGTCCAAAATTCGAAAACAAGGAATACTTACCCCCAAAACTGTGGGAGCGGGGCGGATGTCAGACCCCATACCACAGTTCTGGGGGGTAAGGAATAGCCTAGGCCTACCCCAAGAACTGTCCGCTCCTCTCCCACAAACCCCACAGAAAAGATCCTTTTTCGCCATAGGCTATGCATGACGTTAAACAGGGCACGAACAGCCATTTTATTCGAGTTGTGTACCCATAGAAATATTGCTTCTTTTCCCCCAAGAGTTTTATGTAAGATGGCTTACATACCTTTGTTTTAAGTACCAAGGGCCAAAACCATGCCGTTTTAAAAAAAAGGGGCAAATATTTCCTGATCAGTGTCTGAGAGTCATGCGGTTCACATGTGTACTTGCAAAGACGAGCCGTGACCAAATAGTTGACTACAGCTGCGATCAATACATAAGACATGGAAATTGGCTGCAGCTGCTTTCCGTACGTGTGTGTGCAAAGTCTTAGCCACGCTGGTTGAAATGGCAGTTGGCTGCGGCGCGCAGGGGGTTACACTGACCAATCACAGGGCTTATTATTATTTATTTTATTGTTATTATTTTTGCCCAAAGTGAAGGGAGACAAGCAATAGCCGTTGGGTGCACAAAGCCACTCAACAGAAAGCGTTCACTGTGCAACATCACGCTCATGTGCACTAGTACCCAACGGCTGTTGCTTGTCCTCCTTCAATTTGGGCATAAATGTGTGACACGCAAGTACACATGTGAACCGCATGAATTTCAGACACTGATCAGGAAATATTTGCACTTTTTTTGAAAATGGCATGGTTTTGGCCCTTTTCTTTCTTGGTACTCAAAACAAAGGTATGTAAGCATCTTACATAAAACTCTTGGGGGAAATGAAGCAACATTTCTATGGGTACACAACTCGATTGGAATCGCTGTTCGTGTTTCCTACCTCCATGGTTAAACGTCATGCATAGCATATGGCGAAAAAGGCTCTTTTCCTGTGGGGTTCGTGGGAGAGGAGCAAACGTCGGACCCCACAATTAGCTGGGGGTAGCCTAGGCCTTGTACAAGGCCTAAGTACTAACGCTCCACTTAACCCCATTAATGTGGCCTACGGTATGCTGCGCTCCCCTACAGCCACATGCCCATATACCGAATTTTATTGACTTTTTCAAGCATTCCGAAATGAAAGCATTTTCCCGATTGGAGTTGGTTGATGTACGCCATACCCTCTCTGCTTCTAAATCAATCCTTCACTACGTAATCTTACCTCCTACTTTGTGAGAAATTTGCTGCTAATTTTTGAACTTCATACATTCGTCATGTTCGTGCACACTGACGTTGACAGCTCGAATCATCATGGCGTCAAGTTTGTGACCCCTGAACCATGACCTCATTTTTTGCAAATACAGCACCAGGAATTCAGATGCGACGGCTAGGTCCTGTTTACCCGAGCCTAAACTGCTCACTGCCATGACTGCCAGCCCACACATGGGTAAACAGGAACTAGCCGTCGCATCTTAACTCCTGGTGCTATATTTGCATAATATGAGGTCACGGTTTAGGGGTCACAAACTTGACACCATGATGATTCGAGCTGTCAATGTCGATCAATGTGCACGAACGTATGAAGTTCAAAAATTAGCTGCAAATTTCTCGAAAAGTAGGAGGTAAGATTACGTAGTGAAGGATTGATTTAGAAGCGGAGAGGGTATGGCGTACATTGTATCGAGCAACTCCAATCGTGAAAATGCTTTCATTTCGAAGCACATAAAAAAGTCAACGAAATTCGGTTCATGTATATGGCCCTGGGCATGTGGCTGTACGGAAGCGCAGCGTACTGTAGGCTACATTGGGCTAACGCTCCACTAGCACTCAGTTGAGCTGAACTAACCCACAACGGCCACACATTCTCCGTTTTGACGGAGGATCTGGAGGAGTTGCCGTCATATCAGTCAAAATCTGCTTCGTGCATGAATCATCATCTGCCAAATTTACAGTGTCTGCCTCTTCAAGCAAGTTTTCCTCTCTGATTGAGACTCCTTCCCTCTTCGACTGCTCCATCTTCTCACGTCTGCACGTACGTACGATATCATCCGCACACTCAAGTCTCACCCTAGAGTCTCCTGGTTTGCCGTTACCAGTTTGGGAGTAGGGTAGCTGACTAGAGTTTATAACGTGGCGCCCTCAAGTGTTCCAAAAATACATTTCCTTCCTAATCTTGGATGTGGTTTTTTTTACAGCACATTTGTCTAGGTGTGCACCATCATACATGTACTTTGGGAAAACGGTTGAGAGCCGACTATTCTTCAAATGCCTCATGGAACCTTCCCCCGTGAAATTACTTAAGGCCCTTTACGTGATTACAACCTCTAGTACAATCGGTTTCCCCAGTATCAAGAAAGTTGGGAGCACTCCCCCAGCTACAATCCTGCTGAACCAAATGAAAGGTAATTTTTTGGTCAATTTTCGCCGACTGCATAATGTACTGTTTAAATGTCAAGGACGAAGGCATGTTTGACTATGGGACTTTCCTTTCTCTATCATTATCACTCGGACTTGACTAGGAACCATCCAACTCCAATGCTGCCAACTTTTTCAACAAAGGAAATGATTACAAGTTTTTTACAATATAAACAATTTTTGTACCACATCACCGCCTGTACTAACAATACAAAACCTGGACAGACCAATCAAAACACAGACTACATCATGCGTTCTTTTTTATACTTTCTGATTTTTATTAACACCATTCACCATCAGTCGTCGATGTATGCACAAACACACCCCCCTCTCCTTCTCTAGAGTGCTTTCAAATGTGGTTGTATTGTTTGAATTTAGGCTCTTCCCATTTGCTACTCCGAGGGTCTATTCTCGTCCCATCATCTTCTGGCGTGCCATCTTCTTCTTGGACACCTTCTTCGTCTTCTTCTCCACCTCGTCAGGCTTGGGCACGATCTGCTCACGCTCAGACAGGATGACCTCCATGTGGCAGGGAGAACTCATGTAGGCTGCGGGCAAGAGAAATGAAACAAGTTTTCCTTCAATTAAGGTTAACCCAATTCGACACCACAAACTTCACACCAATTTTGCTCGGTCACATTTATGCTATAATGCACGTACCATTTCATTTCACTTCATTGTCAAATGCTCTTTGCGTCTCATATAACTGTGGCTATCAGAGAGCATGCTTAGAAATGCAAAGCTCCATGCTGCCCCATTAATGTTATCTACCAAGGCTGTTGTGGAAATAATAGTTAAGAGTAAAGTTGAGACATTTCTGACTATTTATTGCCCCAACATTTCCAGCAAACAACTTTACAATACAGCATCATGTGAAATGGAATGATTGAAAATGTCGGTTTTTGTCATTTACATCTCGATCTTGAGACCAGGTTTTGTTGGGTTCAGTATCATCTCTTAGTCATGGTCAAGGTTAGGGCCAGCGACCATTTAGACCCGCTTTGAAAAGGGCCCCTGGTAAGCTCGCCCTGTTGCAAAACCCCTTTCATACCGGCCTGGCTACCGGCCTGGCTACCGGCCTGGCTACCGGCCTGGCTACCGGCCTGGCTACCGGCCTGGCTACCGGCCTGGGATGCTGGACAGGTTGTTGATCTCGAACGTCTCCATCCTGGGGTCTATTGTTTGCAAGTACTGGTACATGTAATCTATCCCAGAAGGAATCTGCTTGTGGTTTTTAATCCTTCAGCTCTATACAATGTTTACACTAATCCACTTAGACCCCTATTCATCTGTGGAAGCATGGTGGGGGAAGCCTTTCATCAGGGACTTTGAAATGCCAACGTGCTGACAGGCCTGATACCGGCCTGGAGTAGCCTGAATACCAGGCAGGCATTATACAGGGCGGGCTACGGGGGGGGGGCCTTTTCAAACCGGTTCTAAATGGTCGCCTTAGGGACTTCCAGGTTTCCATAACACTGGTGTGGACATCTATTACTAAATTTGTCAACTTATAACCCCAATTATGTAAACTCGAACATGATTACAATCTGATTTACATTAACCTTCAAGGGTTCAAGTCAGAAAGCATCATTTAAGAATTGGTTGCCAGCCCAAATGTTCATGTCAAACACGTGAAAGGTCACAATTTTTAAACGCTATCTGAGTGTCAATTTTCTTAAATACTCTACTTACGGTTGATGCGACCATGAGCACGGTAGGTCCGGCGTCTCATCTTGGGGGCAGCATTGACCTGGATGTGATCGATCACCAAGGAGTCCACATCTAGGCCCTGGGAGTGGTGGTGAAAGGGTGTAGGGGTGGGGGGGGCATTATTAATACTATAAATAACCGACACACGGTCAGAAGTATAAAAACCATCCCGAAGATGAGTGCAGAGCTTGGTCTCTGTGCATAAACGAAAGAGGGCACTTGGTGAACTTAATCGCTGCCGTGATTAAGTTCACTTTGAGTTATTCCCTGCACCACACAAATCCATCATTTTGACTGCCTAACACCCATTCGCAATAAGCAATTTCAAATTTTCTGCCAAGGTAAGCAAACATTCAAAAAAAAAAGTCAAGTTTCCCACACACAGCAGAGTTGACAAATGAGACCTTGTCCACTATGTATCCCATGATGCACTGCGTAAAGGCCTCTCTGAGACAACCTCTTGGTGACTCACTGCATTGTGAATCACCCATATTGCAAAGGCAGCACCCAGTGTTGAATTGGCACAATGACGACAACCGTACATGGTACAAGTGGTGACTGCTATGCCCTTTCATAAAGAATTCATGATCACTTCATAAACAAGCCTGTTTAGTTTTCAATGTAAAATACACAAGTGTTAAACAAACCCTTGCCTACTACAATGGATAGCCGATCCTTAGTAAGCTGTGCAGTCATGGGTACTTTTACCGATTTTGATCACACACCGCTGCAGAGGGAAGTGCTCATTTGACACAATATCTGAGGTAAAAAAAAAGTGTGAGGGCTCTGTTACCTTGAATTCGGCATTGCTCTCTGCATTCTTCAGCAGCTGAAGCATGAATTCCGCACTCTTCTTGGGCCAGCGTCCCTGTGTGTGGTTCCACGCCTTGGCCTAACCACACACAAACGAAACAGAGGCTGGTGACATGTTTCAGGTCAGAACACATGACAGACTTCGCACAACAGGTTGAATGCCAACAGCGAGAAACAAAGAACTGAGTGACAAAGAAAAAACTACGGGACAGAACTCAAGAAAAGGCTGTCGCGGAAAGCTGGTCACTGTGTTAAATTACGAGCGGATTACCACCGGGGACAAAAGCGCTCCACAACTGCAGCGATGAGCCACACAGCGCCGCTGCACGCTAATCTGGCCCCTATTGAAAAGAGGTCAGCAGCGCGCTGTGCCAGGTTCATGAACAAAAGAACGTTACAGAACACCACACAATTTGGGCTTTTTTTCACAAGGCTGCATGCCTGGCTTAAATACTTGGGCTGTCAGACTAGAGTGGACACCAGACAGTCATTCGTGCGGGTGTACACATCCATTAATTGAAATGATGAATTTTTGAAGAATTTTTTTGGAAAACTGAAAATCTTGAAAAACTCCCGATTATGTGCACTGCATTTTTCAAACCACCCAGCAGCAAGAGGTTGAACAATTGCCAAGCATTACAAGTGTTACACACCACAACTGAATTTACGCCAATTGCATTGAATTTAATGAATTGCACACCAAATCACGGGAATACCCAGGACTGGGAGGAGGATACCCAGAGGTAAAGCTACCTGAGCCTTGCGACCAACTCCACCATTGAACCTCCTGAAGGGGACGCACTGCTTCTTCTTGATGACGTCATTCAGGAAACGCACCGCTTTCCGCAGGTGCATGTGCTTGATGACGGCAGCCGTCTCCCGAGTGTTCTGCAGATGATGGACATAACCATTAAAAAAAACAGAAATCAGTATAAGTTGCAATATTGCCCGTATTTTGAAAATTACCACAAAAAGTGTGCTTTTTGGGAGGGAGGGTTACCCAGTCAAAAGAGCTGTCTAAGTAAACATACAGAGAAGGAAAAGACTTAACCCTCCTTTTGCTGCAGAAGTCTCAGACAGTTCCTTCCATTTGATTTGCCCAAAGTCATTTGACTGAATTTGACTGAAAGGACACCTTGTCAAGAATGCATCTTTGCACACGAGGGTTAAATCCAACCTCAACACCCTGTAGGTGGCTCCACGGATACAGAGAAGATGGCAGTGGATTAAGAGAACGGACCAATACAAAAGGAATGGGGGGGGGGGAAAAATCTACGTCCAACTTACACGTAGTTCCCTGTGGCCAGCTGATAAAAGGTAGCCTGACAAGAACGAAGATATGCAGAATGAATAGGAGGGTGGGGGGGGGGAGAGGGAGAATTGAAGTCCAAAATGAGAGCACCAAGGCGGGCTTGCTCTGCAACTGAGAGGTGACCGGCTGAGAATAGAACAATGCAACATTAAAACGTGCCTATTACCTTGAAATGCACTCGAAGGTAGGAGCCACGCGCCTTGCATGCTACAGGACAGTAAAAAAAAATAACAAAGAGATGTCAACAGCTGGAAAAGATCTTAAGTTTTTTTCCTGGCCGAACAAGTGTCAGCAACACAATTTCCTTTTCTTTACTTGATGGCAGACAGGCTGAGGCAAGTAAATTACACATGGATTCAGATGATTTGGGTCCCCAATAAAGTTGCCCTCTCGATACAAGGAGACAAACTTGTTCTACCCAGGATAAAGTCCATATCCATGACTACATTGTATCATATCAAAACATATGAAGTGTAGCAAAACATACTTGACGGTTTGCAAGGTGGATCTACAATAAGGTAGAAGGTTTGCAGAGACACTATGTGGTTTATCTCTTTTGTGAGTATTTAAGGCTCTGACGACGATGGACAGAGCACTTACTGTTTATAACGTAGAGTACCCTTTCTTTTCAGAACCATAATACTCACAAAAGAGATAATCCACACGGTATCTCTGCAAACCTTCTGCCTTATAAAAGTATGAAATATTTACAAAGTGTGAAGTCTGTCCACCAAGGTTACGCTGACTGCAATCCAATCAAAGAATGGCCATGATTACAATCATGTAAACACAAACCCAAACTTCTCTTGTTGAAACTTTCAATGTTCCACAGCTTGCTAAAGATACTTCAAATGAAATTTGGCCTTTGGCCCTAAAACATCTTCAGGTTTCCCCAAGGCACTCTAATCAACCTTCCAGAATCCAACAGCAGAAACACTGTGAAGCCTACTGCACAAAATAGAATCCAACAGCCAGGAGACAAGGCCTTTTGTTCACTGCTCGTATCAATTAAGTCCAATAGACATTGACGACTGTTGGATATAGTTGGGATTAGCTTGGTTAGGGTCAAGTCTCTAAACTATGTTGTAAGAAGACGGCTGTGACAATAACAAAAACAGCCTCTCAGACTTACACTTTGTGGCGTTGTCAGGCTCCTGTGAATAACGTGTCATGTTGCCAACGCCTGAAAAATATCAAGCAAAATTATGGTCAATACAGCCCTACACAGAAACAGCGTGGAAAATGTACTTAGGGCCGATCAAAATTTGCTGTTTGAGGAAAGATGGTACCTTCGAGCTCGTTGACAAGAGCATTTCCAATTTGAAGGGGAAATTTCTCTTTTCTTCCCACATGTGAGTAACCCGCATTATCATTACTGGGATCTTACTTAATCCATAGATGGGTGCATTAGACATTTTAAGGACAGTTATAGAGGGTGAATTCGGAGGATTTTGACTCAGGGTACGAGCTATTTTGAGTGAAATGAATTAACCCTCCTATGCGGAAGTCACTCTTTGGGTCATTTGGTGAACATCTCAAAGAAGCACAGCTGTGTTGTGTTGTGCACTACACCAACTGTCCCTCACAGGAATATCAGATTTCACTTTTGTGCTGTCCAACAACTGTGCTTCACTGTTTCATGTGCATCATTGTGCAGTAAACCAAATGCAGTGAAGAGGACTGCACAAAAGACCCTGGGTCATTTTGTGCTGGCAACCTACTATGTACACACTGAACCTGTGCATGTTTGAGTTCCATATAGAAACTACATGCTGACCAGTGACTGTGGGCATTGGTGCACATTTGTGCTGTAAAACCAACGGAGGGTTACTGGAAGCTAAAGCTATGGAAGGTACACTATACTCGGACCCTACTATTGCTTGACCATGTCCAAATGTTAAACAAAAAAGCAATCTGAAGGGTCCAAGTTACTCGGACTACTACTACTAGTTTACGGGCTTTACAGTCACTTCATCCCATTTCCACTTTGCCCCGAGCCACTTCACCCCTAACTACTTCGCCCCATCCCCACATCGCCCCATCCCCACTTCGCTCCATTTCCACTTTGTCGCTGTGCTCCAGTGCGTTACAAGCCTCTTCCAAAAAACGGTCGAGAGAGGAGTTCCACAAACGACATGTAGTTATTATAGTAAACTCTACGGCATTCACTAATTGAATATCGACTGTGTTGTCCATATGGTGAATTAATTATGCGTATGTTTGGACTAGTATTGGGTTTATTTCTAATCCTCTTCAAGTTTATTTCAAAGCGATACAAACAATTCTGTTTACATCATTCTGGTAATCATCCAGACACCTGTGCCCGGGCGATTGGATAAAGCTTAATGCGGTTATACTATATACCGCAAAACACCGAAAAATACCGGAAAATACTGAAAAACAACCGGAAAACACCTAAACACAGGAAACCTACTGAAAACACAGGAAAACTACTGAAACACACTAATTATCAGAAAACAACCTATATACCGGAAAACACTGAAAACCAATAACCAACCAGAAGACGTTTCTTGAAACACCTACCAACCGCTGGAAAACGTACAAAACGAAAATTATCAAATGCAGACAACCAAAAAAAGTCACGAAAGCCTAAGAGACAAACGGAAAGCACCTAACAGGTACTGTGAATCACCAAAGGACGGCCAAAAACCACCTGCCACCTTTTGGGAAGCCCCGAAACATGTGAACTTGTGCTACAAACTTCATGGTAGCCAGCTGGTTTTTGGTGTTTTCAGATGTTTGGGGTGGCCATATATTGAATGACTTCACTCACGTTGTTCTGGTATTTTCTTGTCTTTTTGCCTTCACCCATTCAATCTCACAGGCTCACCCTCACAGTTGCCATCTTTAAAATAAGGTCGTTGAACATTACATCACTTGATCCCTAATCTTCTCAATGGCTGTTCCATGTCAAGACATATGTAATACACGGACTGAGCGATAAGATACTACATCATGTACCAATGGGCTCTTCCAAACTTGGGCAGCAGTTGCTTTGGCTGGCTGGCCGCGAGTATACAGAACGCTGCATCCAATCAAAACTTGTTCTGTTTGACAACTTGATGACCTCATTCGCCTTATTTGAAATGAGAGATTGTGGCTGCTTGCGGCTGGCATACCAGTTATTGAACAGAATATGCATTAAGCTCAGTTCAATGTAGGGAGAATTTAAGTGTCATATATGTAGGCCTACCAGGGAACGTGGTATAGGCCTAGCCTATGTTGTTGTTGATCTTTTGTGAATTCCTACGACGTACTTTACATATTCATCGCACTTAACCATTCCACGCTCTGCCATATATGAAAAATAATGAAAAAAAAAGTTTTTTCCAAAAAAGTTCTGGACGCAAATCTAAAACTTTCATTCTCAGTCATGACTAACACAAACATTTTCACGCCTAAATTTGAATTTTCTGGACACTTTAGGGGGCCTATATCTCTCAGATGGTATCTGCATGGAAAAATTGGTGACATCCATAGGGAATTCTTTCCCTCTGAGTGAAGGCCTCGGCCAAGAACTTGTTGGCAATTATCGTACGCATGTATGTACTCTGTGTAACGTGTTTATTTCATTGCAAGCAGGCTCATTCTTTGCCGTTAAAAAAACATGGAAAAAACATGACGTTTACGACGAAGAAATAAAATACATGAAGACCCCGCCCTTTATAACCAATTCAAATATCACAAAATAGTAAAAAATACTGATGCATCCCAGGATGATTTGGATTTTCTCTGGGTGCATCGTTCTGTAAAATTCACCTCTACAGTGCAACCGGATCAAAAGGCCGTGTTAAGTTTTTCCTTCGGTGAAGTGGTTCCCGATATCTTGTCATTCGAAATCATGGGGCCAGAAAGGAACCAGTCTACGAGACAATTCGATAGAGGGCGTTTTTAACTTTTCACTTTTAAAATCCCCAAAACTATATGCAGAAAAAAAGGGAAAACGGGTGCTGAATTCAGTCTCGGATGGAAAATGGAAAAAAAAAATTGTCTCTCACTGCAGTGATGGGCATATGGTATTGTATTAGCATACTGCAGAGGGCCTGTGTGTAATACTGAATTGGTTTTCTCTAGTTGCTTTCAATAACAGTTTGTCCGACTGAAAATTAGGGTTGCATTTCAAGGGTTAGTTTCCCCAGTTAGGGTTCGGTAATTAGGGTTACATCGTGTTTAAATCTGTGTGGGGGGGGGTTGCAGCTGCAAATTTAAGATTATTTCAACCTGTCAACTCTATGCTGGCCCTGTTGGTTCAAAGCATCTGAGAATTTCAAGTTTGGTGCTGGCACACGAAACAAGTATCTCAAACATTTTGTTCAGTATAACGTACCCAATGGCAGTTACCCCCCCCCCCTTCACTCTCTCCATTGACCTTTTATACCGTGCCGATACATAAACATGCTTAGGCTGGTAAGCTAATAAAAGTATTAAAATCCCAAACTCATTTTACTGCAATAAAAATATTTCTAGAAAATAAAAATACATTCACAAAACAGCTGGGTTACTCAAAGCAGTTCAAACCCGGGTGAGTGCCAGTATACAACTTAACAAACATAAGCCATCAAGGTCACCGAGATTGTTTTTGCACTTTCTGGTTCACAGTAACGTCACACTTCGGTAGTCTATATAGTTTAACGCTTTCCCGCGGCCGGCTCGTACTACGAGCGCAATTTTTCTAAGGAAACTACCTAGGCCTACCGTTACATTTTTTGGCCGTCCTGATGGAAAAAAAATGGCGAGAAAGGCCGAAGAAATCGGTATCTAAAGGACTAGAGCAGTCAGTGGAACCGATTTCAAGAATATTCCGACTAGCAAAATGCATGCACCAGTGTGATATCGCGATGAAGCACAAAGGGGAACGGATTCCACGCAACTGGATCGATCTGCTATCTCTACAAAAATAAAACTAAGGGGAAAAAACGCAAAACTCCTGCAACAGTTTATTGGGATTTACATGTACATACTTTTCTGACAAATATTTCGCAAAAATGTCACTCATGGAAGTGTCGATATATTTTATATGTCAGTCCCAGTATAATGTTGGGAATCCATCAGTAGGTTTAAATTCAAAAGAGTGAAAACTTTTTGAAATCTTTTCGAGTGAGTATTCACTCCTGCAGTCGGAAACTGGGAACCAGACTTTTTAGAGTGATATTTTTTCAATCGAAAAGATCGAGTTTTCACTCGAGCTCCGACTGAAGTGATTAATCTGTCAGAGTATTTTAATCTGAATTGAGAGTGATTTTCACTTTAATCGTCACGTCCCTAGTTTCACTCAGTCGGATTTCGATTTAAAATAAAAATACACAAGTTACAATTTAAAAAAAAATTGCGTTTACCAGACCGGGTGCTCTTTAAAATGCTATTGGCAGGCGCTGTTCGGGGGGAGGGGCTTCATATAGGGGGCTCTAGCTACCCAAACCTTTGTGTAACCCCTCCCAAAAAAGGAAAAAAGAAAAAAAAAACAACAACAGAGCAGTAGCAAAAGTTACAAGGTGATGTCACGTGCAAAGGGTTTAGCCGCCACCCCCGAATATTGGCTCTAGAACCGCACCTGGCTATTGGGATAACTACCATAAATCATGGTCATTGCCCAAACAGCATTCAGTCCTGAATTTAACGGAAATCAGCATATTGTAGCGNTATATGATACTTTTATTTAGTGACTCGTTTGCGTCTCTTGTAGCTATGGGTTGTAAATGGGGTACTTGTTGTAGGCCTGAATAGCTGTTTATTATTAATGAAAAGTGCTTTTAAATGAGAAATGATCCAAAAAGGTGCAGATGAGGGCAACGGAATGGATGTGTACTAGTAGTCTTCCCGCCGAACAAAAAATATGGCCGTCAATCTCAACAGTCAACTTAATTTTCCCATACAATAATAAACGTTTTCTAGGTCCCAACAAATTATTGTCAAAAGTACCAACAGTGAGGACATGCAGCCTCTGCACCCCAATAATTGTGATGTAATTATTGATGTAATTTAAGTTTTATCTAACGACAAAAACGTGTTCTATCTTGAAGGCCAAGGCGCGAGTAGGCGTGCACCGGAAAAAATCGAGGGCGTCACTCACTGTGACAGACCGGTAGATGACGTCACCATAAACATAATTTAGTCTGGTCCCGGACTTTCTAAACGCTTATAAACCAAAAATTTCATAAGGAACTAGACTGCGTTTTTAGCGACCGCGCCGGGCCACTTGCATATGCGTACGCGTATGCACGATCAAAGTACAGTACATGTACAGTACATGCATTGACCGGCAGACCGGCTCACTTGTAGTTCGATTTGCGGTATAAAATATGAAAATATCTACCAGAATAAGCCCTAAATATGTCAACTGGGTAATTCACAGTTGTCTCTTGATATAAAGTGTAGTACAAAGAAAAAGTACGGAAGTTTAGTTAATCACTGGATCTTGGCCGTCCATTGGCATAGTTCACGCACTGCTCGACCGACAGCTTAAAACATCGTCCGACATGCTCCAAATGCGTTGATTGGTCAAATTCTTCGATCACGCCAAATCTTACGTCAGGTGATTGGCCGGTGCGTTTCCAGACACATGGGTAAGTAGGCTGACCTTGGAGGTATTTTCTAAAGGAAATGGAAATGAGGATATTTTGAGCACCAAACGCATGTGTGGATTTATTTTCTGGGCCAACTAAGGACCGGACCCACTTGTGTACACATGAACGTTACACCTCAGACTGGCATTCTTGGGAAAAACGGGAAGAACACATGGCTAGGCACGCCACATGATTGGCAGTTCATTAACAGTGAGAAACAACAGCCAACACAAGTCACAATAGGCCTAATATCTGCTCATGTTGAGGTAAGAAATTTGGCATTAGGCCTGGGCCGGAGTTTGGTAGGCCTACTGCCGGTAGGCCCAATACAATCAATAGTACTAGTAGTAGGCCTACCGGTATTTGGCCTGAAAGCTGAAGTCCCCGCCTCCCAAGTCTGATGGTTGTCACAGTTGCTCAGTCTTTGTGTCACAGTTGCTTAATCTTTGTGCAATAGTGCCAACTTTATTTTAAGATAAACTAGCCAACAACCTTTTCACTAATTTCATTGCTTTTCTTTCGAAATAATCTGAGATACGGTTGCGGAAGATTGTTTTGAAAAAGAGAAGATCATTTAGGACTGTCAGTGCAACCCATTCGTCCAACAAGCATCATGCTGTGAATGCTGGTCAACTCATACGCCGACCAACTTTTTCTTTTTTAGGTTGAGACTGGTATTTTTAGATTTTGCTTAGAAATCCTTAAAGATTGGTATTAAGTCACTGTAAAAAAGTCCGTAAATTTACAGTGTCTGTAATGGACATTTCCTGTAAAATTACGGAATTGTTCCGTAATTTGGGGAGTGTGGGTGAAAGTCGGATCTCCGTAATCAGTCAAAGTAGTGACGGGAATTACTAAGGATGTTTCTAATAACATTAGTTATACTAGGCGTACGAGTTGGTCGGCGTACGAGTTGGCACACGTACGGCTTGACCAAACTGCACACGAGTTGGTTGGTGTACGAGTTGGGTGGCCTACAAGTTGACCTGCTTCGCATCCAGAACATTAATTTTTTTTTCAAATGCCAGCACTGAATCAACACCATATAGGGCTAATAATTAATTTGCCCTTCTTGATGAAGTGACAGTAGACCAAGTGATAATTGTATGGTAGAGTGTTAAGACACATGGTGCTTCGGTAGGGCTGGCCCTCTAGCAGACAACAATGGTCCGCCGTTTGCAGTTTCCTGTTCTTTTTTCTTCTCTCAAAAGTTGTACAATAATCCCTTTACTGTTTTAAATGGAAACCAACAAAACATTGCATGAAACTTTTCTTTCTTTTCATGATTTGTGGCTTTGTAGGTTTTTTCAAGGAAGACTACATGTAAGTCCGAAATTATTCGAGGGCAAAATTCCATCTCATGAATACAGATTCGTAAGGTGACCATGTATGGCATGGAGCCAGATGATGATTTGTCATGGTAAAAAGTCCCAAAAAGCAGTCATGGTGCATGTTCAGTTGGCATGCCTGCAAAATAGCAAAATAATGCTGCTACCAGTTCACAGTCTATAAATGTTTAAAGGCTGTTAGTGTGCAGTGCTGAACTTGCCATTATTAATTGAAATTAATATTGTACTTGTTCCCTACAGTGTTCACGAGTGCATTACATTAAATATTACATACATGTACTTAAGACACATAAAAATCTCAAAGAAGCTAGAGTATATTGTATGTACATGTACAGTACTTTTGAAACTCAGTTTTCCTAAATATCTAGGCCAGTTAATAAAAAAAAAAATTTTTTGCCAGATGCCAGATTTTATTTGTTGAAAATGTTTTTCCAAGAGCTTTTTGATGATTCCATTAATAGATTAAATTCTAATGGATCATTCCAGACGTCACCACTAAGTTTACCCTTTTTATTCCGTTCCTTCTAAGGGTGAGAAGTCCGTATCAGGCCATCACAACTTGTAAGAAAATATTTTTAAAAGGTCAATTTGTTATTTTTTGTGACACGTAAACATTGTGATGATCCCATAGGGGATAGTGTGTATAGCCAGTTTCTGTTTAACAGGCTATAATTTCACATTACCATCAAGCTTTGGCATGCACAGATTGTTTCCTTCTGTTTTTAAAACTGCAGTAATAAAATTGAGCCCCCCCCCGAACAGCTTCAATGTACATTTTCTGTGTGGGGGTTGGACAGGCAGTGCTGTCATAATTTTGAGGCTAAGGTTATGACTGAACTGCTGTTGTCTGATTTTTTATTTAATAATGTGGCAAATAAATAGCATAGAAAAATAACACTTGTGTGCACATCTAGTGTTAAACTTTTTTATTGTCATCTGTTTTTATTCCTGCAGTTCTTACTCTTTTTTTCGGCAAAAAATACACAGTACATGTAAAAGCAGGCCTCTACCTTGGCACTAGATAGGCATACAAATTCTAGTAAAAAATGGCTGGTAGACTAGTAAGGAAATGCCTACTTGTTTAATACTGTCATTTGTCTCTTTGGTCTTGTTTGAAAAGTTGAATAAAGCAAACATTGTAAATTTTGATTGTACATTTTGTTCATTGAAATAGTTTTGAAACTTTCACTTTTAAGTTTCAAAATTCACAGCATGACTCTACAGTAGTGGTTGAAATAATCAAATTTCAAAAAGCTAGTCAAAGTTAGTTTTGCTAGAGAAATGTTCAATGGGCAAATAAAAATTCACATGGGCTAGAGAAAAAATAAATTATCTGGCTCTTTGGGCCAGTTTAAAAAAATGTAAGGTCAAGTTGTGTAAAAGTAAAAAAAAAGGTCTGACCTATTTTACATGTATGTACATGTACATGGTGAGTTAAATGATGCCAAGTGCAAGTCTCGTTTAGTTATTGGAATGAACTGAGCCTGATACCTCGAAATGAAATAATGAAATAATCTTTGGCAAGATGTAGTTGAGTTGCATCATCTGTACCACACAGAAGTTGTAATGACAGCCACAATATATGTGTTCTTATGAGCAAAGATTGTATAGCGGCGAAGGCGCAAGATGGATAACTCTGCCCAAAAGGTGTAATTATCATGGGCGCCATTTGAGCAAGCGATACGCCTGCGCAGTTTACAGTAATGCTTCCGTGCAGGCTCACCAGGTGCACGTGCCTGCTGCGGCACCTGCGCCTGTGCATTAATGTGCATTGCGCAGGTGTATCGCTTGCCCAAATGGCACCCATGTGATTACAACGTTTCATGTGTATTCACGGTGAAGTTCTCCATCTTGCGCCGCTACGTGGCGCTATACGATCTTTGCTTATGAGTACTGTGAAGGACTACTTTTCACTGACCATGCTAATTTTCTCATGCCGTACAATTGTGTGGGACTGCTCTAGTTGCTGTATGATTTGATTAGAAATAAAAAAAATACAAACAAACGTCATTTTCCCAAAACTGATTTCCCTTTGCTGTTCTGCTTTTAAAAAATTGATGTTGTGAAGCAGTGTAAGGGACGGGACTCCAGACATGCTAAGAAGTAATCAAAATTTGTTTCCACCATGGATAGGGAGCCCATTAGGTCATTTAGTGAGAACCAGGGACATGTATGTATAACAGCGACAGTTTTCCTGTGGCTTTGTGCATTGTACAGTTTGCTGGAGATTTTTCTGTCTTTCTCTGTTTTTCTTTGTGTTTTCAAAGGTCATGTAACAACTACTTTGTCAATGAACCGTGTTACATGTATGACATTTCAACAAGAGGTGGACATGTACATGTATGTGTATATGAGGCATATACATACATGGGTTCACGTACAGTCAGGGGTCGATGTTTAGCTTTTTTGCCCATAAGCTAAAAACAGCTCATGGTCTTTCATATTTCAGGGGGTTTGGGAGCAGTTTCACAGAACCTGGGAGCTATTTAAGATAAAGTCATATACACATAAGGCCAGAATATAAAAAGTGGGGGGTAAATTTTTCTGTGCTGATTGACTGGCATGAATGGGGACAAACGCTTCAAAAATTGTCCGAAGAAGTGATATAAACCCATCTTAATACTTGTAAAAATTTCTACAGTAGACAATTCACAACATTTACGGACAATTCACAAAATGTTAGGTAATCATGACAGCAAACTAGCCAACGGTGACCTTGTATCACTACTGTAGGTACATGTAAGCGTCCATGATGTATCCAACGGGCTGTTGATAAACCTTGTGCCGTGGCAGGATATTTTGTGGAAACACGTTCGCTTCAAGTGCGAGCAAAATCACCTCAAATTTAATTCCTAAACACAGAAAATACAAGCGACCAAGTTCTGTTCTTGCACAAATCCTCTCGCAACATCGATGTTTCTTCAACATGCAGCTGGAGGGTTGCATGAGTGTATAGCCAATGTAGCGTGATCGACCGCGACGTACTGTTATTGACTGGTTGGCACACTTCCATCGCGCGTTCTTTGGCATGGGCGCAGCACGGTGGGAACCAGGACAGCTTTGCTCCAATGGATTGAGCTTTGCGCATGTGTTTTCACCTCTGCGACAGCGAAACGCAAAGGGAACTCTTGAAAATAACAGAAATTTCTTTTCAAACATAGCAAATGTCAGTAGGAAAATATATAAAAATAGGCACTTTTCTTTGAGAAAAGGCTGTTGAACCTATCCCACTACAGTACGACTGTAAATATTTTGATGATATCTTTGGAATAAAGTATGCCATCACTTCAAAGAGGATCAGTAACGGCCTGGTACTAATTTTGGTGCTTGACCTCGCGCTTTATTACTGGTTACCAGGCGCTAATCATGGTTTGTCAGACAGCAAGAGTGCTGGTGTGCCCACTTCATGTCCACCCCTGTGTACTCTTAGGGTGTTTATGCGGGTCATCTATCTGTGCTGTTAGGGTTATTATATTGTTGTACTCCATGGTCCTGTGTATGTACGTGTGTGTTTGTGTGGTGTAAATTGCACCAGGGAATTTGCAGCTGATGAAATGAATATTTCTGAGTTGCAGGTTTTGTGGTTTTGTTTGTGTTTTTTAATCTTTCAGAACAGTTCTAGCCAAAATGGAATGAAATTATCTATATCTT